GGGCGCCCATCGCCGCCCCCGCTAGCGTCCTGCCAGAGTCCTGCGGGTCGAGAGGGGTCAGCGCAGCCAGGCCCTCCCCGCCTGTCTCCCCAAGGTCATCATCAGCCCCGTGGGGGACCAGAGCTGCGCTGTCACTGGTGATCAAGGGACTTGGCTGGGGTGGCTCTTGAGGGTAACCAGACTTCACCAAGGAGCAACAAGCATAGTTCAGGCCAGGTACAGTGGTGTATGCCTGTAATCCCAGCACTCAGGAGGCTGAGGCAGGAGGATCAGCCTGGGCTACGTGGTGAGTTCGAAGCCAGCCTGGACGACATAGTGAGACCCTGTCTCAAACCCTAAATTAAAAAATGGAAAAAAATATTACAGTCCCTCAGTGGCACTATACAAAGTACAGAAATTGCTTATTGGTGGCGCTCCCCAGCCTACCCCCATGGCTGAATGTCAATTACTGGCTGGCTCAGTCCAGGGCAAAGAAGGCCTGGCACTGCCTCTGCCCAGGCCCTTGGGAGTGAGTGTGTTCGGGGGAGGTTATCAGCAGTTGTCACAAGCTGGGAGCTGTGGCGCATACTGAGGCTGAGGCGGGAGGATTGTGAGTTTGAGACCAGTATGGGCCATTTAGCAACCTAGTGAGACCTTTTCTCAAGATTCAGTAAAAATATTTAAAGAAATCTGGGAATCTAGGTCAGTGCAACAGCCCTGGATTCAATCGCCAGTACCACAGAATAAAATAAAATTGTAAAATATCGCCATGGTACCTGGGGAGACTTCCGACTCAGTTTCCAGGGACGGGTGACACTATGAGTGGGAGGCCACCGTTCCAAAGCTGGTCATTTCCTGTTCTTCCACAGTTCTGCCCCTTATTCAACTGTGAGGCCCACGTGCTGTCTTTGGCACTGGTCTCTGACTGGTTTAACTCTCAGAGTACTACAGAGGGTACACTGCTTAGGGACTTCCGAGGTGGTGTCCTGAGAGGGACACAAGCTGTGGAGCCTGAGTGTGTGGTTCCTGCCAAACGCCGAGTGGTCAGCAGCTGGCAGGGTGGGGAACTTGGCTTTATAGCATGTGTTGCTTTCTGTGGTGTAAATTATACCCAAGGCTGGTTATAAGCTGGCCCTGTGAAGTCCCTGAACTGAAAAGAGATGTGACGGCTATTTGGCCTTTGCCAGTGTGCGCTGGCTCGGCACAGGGCTGCCTGAGTCTGTGCATGCTTCTGGCTACCCGGAAGTCATCCTGCGAGGAGAGCAGGTGCACACAGACACGAAAAGCTGAGGAGCGCTAGCTGTTCCCCAGCTGTTCGCACTGCAGCTGCTCAAGGCTCCCTGGTGCTAGATCTGGGAGAGAAGCAGCTTTGGGCCCGCCCTGCCCAGCCCCAGCCATTGTCTGACCGAACCCAATGAGAGCCCTGTGTGTGGACCACGGATCCAGTCTCCAGAAGCACACAGAGTCATGATAAAATAATGGTTATTGTGTAAACAGTGCTTAGTGACTTGCACTGTGTGGGGTGGTGCCCACCAACTGAGCCCCCACTAAGAAACAGTGGGTATCAGCGCTCCGGAAGGCTGAAGCAGGAGGACTGCAAGTCTGCACCAAATCCAGACAACTTAGTGAGACACTGTCTCGAAATAATAGCTTTTAAAAGGGCCGAGGATGTGATATAGCTCAATTCAAAGGCCCTAGATTATATCCCCAGTACCTCAAAAAACACACAAGAAGGGGTCAGGGATTTAGCTTAGTGGTTCTGCCACCTGCATCGCAAACACAAAGACCCGAGTTTGATCCCCGGTACAAAAAAAAACAAAAAAAAAGGAAAACCACACAAGCAGACACCGCCCCCCCCCAAAAAAAACAGGGAAAAAAACCAAGAAGGAAAGGGCCGGGATTTAGCTCAGTGGTTCGGCCGCCTGCCTCTCAAGCATAAGGACCGGAGTTTGATCCCTGGTACGAAAAAAAAAAAGAAAAAAAGATGGGTGCCTGGTCCCTGCACTGTAGAAACAGACAAATCTGGATTCAAATTCTGATGCTAGCCATTTTCTGTGTTTGATTTGGGGCAAAAACTATCACTTTTGAGCCTAATAAATGTAAGTCAGGAGTAGAATTTTTTTTAAAAAAGCAGGGTTTTCGGAAGGGGCTGCCAGACGGAGAAGGGGGGCAGCCCCGGCCTCAGTGCCCGCAGCGCTCTCGTGGGTCCGGGGTGGGGCTGGGCTCGGAAACGACGCTCTTTCCGTGCCATTCGGAACTTTCTAGAGCGCGTTTGCAAATGGAGCCTCGCGTAGTGGGGGCGCCGGGACCCCCATCCCGATCGGGCCAGAATCTCCCCAGCTGCGGTGAGGACAGAGCACTCACTCTGACCTGGGTCCCTACCTGTCCTGGCGCTCACCTAGC